CTGGGAGAGAAAGACACGTGAGGGAGGTCTGCTGTGAGCGGGAGGCTTCGCAACCCCTGGGCCCGGACTCCCCAGTACCAGCCTATGGAAGGCGAACACCGCCCCCCAGAGGGACAGCAGCGACATTCCAGATGCCCAGGAGCAGGAGCAAGGAGCTTTGTCGACTGCCGTCTGTCTCCTGTCTCTGTCTCCGGAGTTCCATGCTCAATTCCATTGGAAATTAATTAGTTCTACAATGACAGATCCTCTTTTTTGAGAAAATCAAACAAGAAAACAAACGCTGACTCGATCTGATACCCTTAATTTACAGATAAGAAGACAGAAAATAAGTGTTTTCTCCAGCCGATGGCAGAAGTCAGTCAGAGATTTGAAGCACAAGAAAAACGAGACGTGCCATTGCTGGCCTGAAGGCGGAAGGTGCCCCATGGGAGCTAATGTAGCACCCAGCTGACAGCCAGCAGGAAACGGGGACCTCAGGGATAGAGCCACGAGGAACTGAATTCCATGGACCAGTAGAGTGAGTGTGGAAGTGCGCTGTCCCCACAGCCTCCAGGTGAGACCTTGGGTGGCCAACGCTTCTTGTCAGCTGATGGACACCTGAGCAGAAAGCCCAGCCACACTGCAGTGGACTCCTAACCTGCAAGCTAGGGAAGGGGTGCCGTTTGAAGCTGCTAAATTTGTGGAAATTCATTAAACAGCAACTGAAAACTAATGCCTGGCCGATTATCTTTTAAAGGTATTTAACACTTAGGAAAAGATACGCATTTACCTACACAGTTACCAGTGCCAGTGTCAGTGCCAGAGGCGGACATTCTCTCTGGCAGATGCAGATTTCCATCTGGCTTCATTGCCCTCCGCCCTGAAGGGCATCTTTGAACATTTCTTGTACTCGTGTTTGCTGGTAATAAATTCTCTCAGCTTTCGTATGTCTGACGACGTCTTTATTTTGCCTTTGTTTCCTTTTTAACAGCTTTACTGAGATATAACTCACATTCCATACAATTCACCCAAAGTGTACACATTCAGGGGGGTTAGGTAAATTACATCATTAATCCTTAAAATCTGCCATTTGAACCATCAGTAAGTGTACTAGTCAGTGGCATTAATTACATTCACAATGTGGTGCAACCATCACTAGTAATCCCGAAACTTCTTCCTCATCCCAAACGGAAGCTCCTAAACATTAAAAATAACCACCGCCTCTTCCCTCCCCTCTGACCCATGCTGTCTCTGTGAATTTGCCTATTCTACAACACCATGTAAGTAAAATCGTACATTTGTGCTTTCGTGTTATCTTATTTCATTTAGCATGCGTTCCCATCGACAACCCTATGGTGTAATTTCTATAAAGCCCACTAAGAAGCAGTAAGATTTGCTAAATCCCGCTAATGACATTATCAAATGAAACCAAGGCGGTAGGTAAAATCAACTGAGCACAGTGAAGAGTAAAACGAGCTGCAGGACCAGGATTAGACTGTGGGGAAAGTCAACATTTAGAAAGCAAGCAGAGGAGAAAGGGAAGCCCGAAGAGGAGGCAGAGAAAGACCCACGGAGGATGGGAGGGTTCAGGACAGAGGCATGTCAGAGAGGAAGGAAGAATTTCATGGAGGGGAGATGAAAAGGCTCAGATAAACTAAGGACTGAAACGTACCAGCCTGGCTCGATGAGGGGTCACTGTGACTTGGGGAAAGCAGTTTCAACGTGCCGGTGGGAAAGGAGCCAGATCCCACGGGAGGAATGGAAAGCTCGGAGGTAAAGAAAGAAGAGCAAGGGCAGAGCTAGAAGAGGTGGTGCGGCCAAAAGCCAAACTTGAGGGAGACCGTGGGCTGAGAGGAAGGAAGGAGCAGACAGGCGGCTGGAGCCAGAGGCCAGAGAGGGGAAGAAGGGATGGTCAAAAGCTCAGACGAGGGATCAGGCTTGAGGAGGAAGCTGGCAATGCATCTTTCTGTGCCTCCCTTCAGAAGTCACACGTCCCAACTCTTACCTTCTGCCTCCCTATTCCTTTGACGGGCTTGGAAAGACCTCTGTGACTGCACGGAAACCACCCAAATAATCCAGGGTCATCCCCCATTTTCGGGTCCTTAGTTGAATCATATCTGCTAAGTCCCTTCTGCCATATAAGATAATACAGCCACAAGTTCTGGGGATTAGGGCATGGATATCTTTGGAGAGCCTCCCACCAGGGCAGAAATGGGCCCAAAAAATAAAAAAATAAATAAAAAATAAAAGCTGCTAGAACCAGCGAGAAAGCTACGCAAGCTACTGAGGCCCAAGAGGTTCCACAGCACAGCTCTGAACGAGCTCCCGAGGGCCCAGGCCTCTACATTCTGGGCCCTGACAACTTCTCGACCCTGACTCCCCTGCACCTGTCTCATTCTCACTATGCCTCATTTTAAATGCCGCCTGTTCCCAGAAGCCTGCCCATTGTCCCAGAAAGCATCAGTGGTCCCTTAGCCAGTAATCGCCGAGCACTCTGCCCCATGCTGCACTTCGCAGATGCTGCCAGCACTTCAGCACTCTGCCTCAGGCTACCACTACTTATCTGCCCACCTCTCTTATGAGATAATGAACCACTTGAGAATTGGGACAATCTCACTCTAAATCTCAAAAAGAGGATAGCTCTAATAGCCAGAAGACTTAAGAAAGCTGGCTGATATAAGACATGCTATGAGGAATACTACAGATGAAAGTGTATTGTAAACTAAACAGAGATTTTACAACATGAAACTTCTTTTTCCTTAACATAAACATTTTAAAACTTAAAATGTTTTTTAAACTATATGCCACTAACTTTTCAGTGTTTAAACTATGTGATAAAAACCAAGGAAACCCATCATTTCTAGGAGTATTCTTCCTTTAACAGAAATATTTCCTCACCAAGTTATGAAGAAATGAGTCATTTCCAAAACATTTTTAAGATGAGAATATAAAGAACAAACTGCATGGGGGTTCTTAAAAAAAAGAAACAGTTCTATTTTCTCGACATGTGAATTTAATCTATAAACAGAACTGTTCTCATTCCTATTCTTCCTTTATTTTTATTTTTATTTTATGTTTCCTAGTAATATTTTAAAGTTTTCTCATCGTTCAGGCATATTTCTAGTTAAAATTAATACTAGGTAATTTCTTCCCACTGTGAATAGACTTCCTTTAATAAAAGTATGTGCTTGTTATTGAGAACAGTAAGCAATCTGTTGATGTTTCCTTTCCAGCCACTTTACTAAAAACTCACTGATGTTAACAATCTCCTGTACATGTTGGGGATATAGTTAATTAATTACTAAGGGTAATTCTGTAATCTCTCTTCCAGGTAGTCTTTGATTCTATGTAAATACTGTATTCTCCTAAGCAGAATGTCAAGACAATTTCTATATAAAATACTGATAAGGAGACTTTCTCATTTAATTTATGATATGTATCTCAAATCGTTGCCCTATGACTGGCATTTGCTAAGAGCTCAAAAAATATGTGTTGAGAGAAGGAATGAAAGAACAAATGAACAATTTTCAAGAAAAGGCAGAAATGTATACACTTCACCATTCAGGAGGCTTTGCAAAACAGAGAGACAATTTTAATGAAACAGAGAGCAGATTAGATCATACTTAGGTTAGAGAAAAGCTGGTGTAGTGTCGAAGTGGTTTAAAAAGAAGAGGTAGGGAAGAGTTGTGCTATTTATTTCCCAGGTAGACAGTTAATCGTAGGGAACATCTCTAAGCTGACTAACGTGTTAGCTAGCATTCTGGATGACATCCTGTCTCTCCCCTTTTTTTTTTTTTTTTTAAACATAGTATATTCTGCTATTAAGGTATAGATAGAATTGAAATTCTTTACTTTCTCCATATACTTTGGGTGGGATCTATGGAATTTTGATGTCAACCTTATCTTCGACATTCATACTAGATGTCAGATGATACGAATTAACATAATTTAACAACTCTAGTGTCGAGAAAATAAAAATAATTAAATTTATGAGATGTCGGTGAAAAATAAAACTAGGAGAAACACAATACACACCACCAGTTAATCTGAGATTAAAAAAAAAAAATCCTGAAGACCAGGAAGCTAGGAGCTAGAGATGTGTTTTTTTTAAAGGCCACACACAAACCTGCTTGATCCTAAACACTGCACATATTGATAAGACCGACATTTTTAATCAATACTTTTAGACTAGACCAAGAAATAGAAATCTATACAGCTCTTTCTGCCACCTACGTAATCAATGGCTGTAGCATAAAACTTCTACAATATCCTCGAACAGAGAAACCAGAGTATGTAGTTTTAAAACCCAATATAACAATGTTGGATTTTTCTCGGAAACGTAAGGCGTTTACTATTAAGAAATTTCCTACGCTAACAAAAAAGAGCATGATCATTTTCAGCAGTTGCTAGAAAGGCCATATGCGAAATTTTAAGCATCTAGTTTCAGTCGGAAGGGGAAAAAAAGTAAGCAGGAATAGAAGAAACCTTCTTTTGCATCACTGAGAATATGTGGTTCAAACGCACAACCACCACCACACAGCACATGCAAACACGAGGGGTTGTCATTATTCTTGAAAAAAACAGAAACGTTTGCTATTAACGCTACGACGTGAATTCAAGAAGTACCACGCAAGGGGAAAAAGTAATTCATGCAAGGGGTAAAAATCACCGCTAAGAAGAAAAATTATCTATTGATGAATTTACCGTCTACCTAGAACGATGAGGCTAACAAACCGCAATATTGCTAAAAGGACAGATACGTGTCCAACGACGAAGCAAGGACGCAGACACACTAACCCCGGCACCTTCGCATCTACCTGTCCGAACCCCTAGAAGCTGCGATGGGGGCAGCGATCCCGTCACAAAGGCAGCGGCGACGGCTAATCAATGAGGAGCGGAGCCTCCGCGGAGGGCGGCGCGGCAGGGGCGGGGACAGCGCCGGGACAGCGCCAGGACGAGCGGCTGCTGGGCTGCGGCCCGGCCACCCCCTCA